GATACTTTGCAAAACCGACTTGTTGGCATGTTTGTGGGTAGTACTTGGGTTAATGTCGCCAAGCACATTACCTGTCTTCCCAGTATCAAACATCGCTACAATGTCCTGGCTACCCGTTTTGCTCTGCGTGCTGATACTCTGCCTGACGATTGTCTGCTGGTTCTGCTTCGTGCCCATTTGCACTATACAAGGTTGGATCGTTTTATATGTGAAAACCCTCTGTATCAGTCGCTGCCTGACCCTGTTCCTTCTTCTGCTGGCTTGCGCACTACCTTTGCTGCCTATTGGCAAGATCAGGTTGATCTCCAGCTCTCTGCTGCTGCTGTCACTGGTCGTCATACTTTGCTTCGTGCTTGTCGTCCTGACACCATGAGGCCTGATCCCATACTTTACCTGCCTCTTGGTCGTATTGCTCGAAGTCGTTTGGTCCGTTGGCGCCTTGGTCGTTTCACAAACATGCGAGAGGAGTGCCCATGTATGTCACCTGCAGGTGTTCACATCTCTCGTGATCACTTTTTGTACTGTCGTGCTCTTGATCCTGACTTGATCGATGCCTTGCCGCCTGCTCCACCTGGTGTGCACCGTATTGACCATGCTCTTAATTGCTTGCCCACTAATGCCTCTGCCGGTCCTCCTGATTTCTGGCCTGCTCTACTGAACCTCCTGTATGCTATCGATTGCCTTGTGCATCCTCTGGCTGTCATTGCTCCGGATCCAGATCCAGCGTCTCTTTGGTACTCCAGTACTGGTTGATCTGACAGGGATGAACATGTTCCATTGTTGTTTTCTACGTGCGGCTCCTCGGTGGTAAGTCATTATCAAAGTTCCCATCCGTTGGTTGTCCCTCGAGATCCTCAATGTGAGCACCACTAGTCTCCATGTCCTGTACTCTTGTCACTGCATTTTTTGTCCCTTTGAAAGTGCTCTGGAGGGGTTTTTTTAGTTACTTGCTCTATATTTGTTCTTGAAGTTAGGCTATGCTCACATCGAGTGCCCATTAAATTTCTTATAAATAAAAACAATCTTTAAACTGAGCTAGCTAGGCCCCCTGCTCTGGATATTGCTCAAGGTGGCTTCCGTCCTCAACGTAGTCCTCTGGATCAAGCCCTCTGCTTGCATGACTTGATGCATGATTACTTTCTGACTCACCGTCGCTATCCTGTGGTGGCTTTCTTGGATATCAAGTCTGCTTATGATACTGTCGATCGTAGGGTTATATGGCAAGCCCTGTCTGGTTCTACACTTCCTCGTCCTGTTCTGGGTCTTTTGATGAACATGTTTGACGATGTCTCAGTCTCAGTCTTGATTGCTAATCATACCTCTGCTGCTTTCTCTCCTGTTACTGGTGTACTTCAAGGCTCAGTACTCAGTCCTCATTTGTATTCGTTGTATATCAATTCCTTACCGAATCTTTTGCGTTCTGTTGATACTGGTGCTACGATGGTCAGTCCTCCTGGTGCTAGTCGTCCTATTGCCATCAATAGCTTGCTCTTTGCCGATGACGTTGCTATCTTTGGGTCTTTGTCTGGTGTCCAGTCTATGTTGGATCTTGCTGCTGAACACTCTGTCTGTCTTGGTTATAGGTGGAAGCCATCTAAATGTGCTGTGCTCGGTTCTCCTGCTGCCCTCTCTGATGCTCGTCTTACTCTCTACAATGAGCCGCTGCCGGTGGTAGATGAGTTTGTGTATCTTGGTATGCCGTTTCGATATAAAGGGCTACATGCTCCTAGTATCTTGTCTCTGCGGTCCGCTGGTGCTGTCAAGGTTATGGCTCTGCTGAACTCTGTTGGTGTCAACCGTAATGGTTTCTCTCTGCTGCTCTGTTCTCGTCTGTACAAGGCTTTCGTTAGACCCAAGAATGAGTATGGCCTCGCTATATCTCATCTTGACTATCGTACCTTTGAGGCTCTTGACAAGCTCCAAAACCGGCTGGTTGGTATGTTCGTGGGTGGTTCCTGGTTCAACGTTGCTAAGCACATTACCTGTCTCCCTTCAATGAAACATCGGTATAATGTCTTGGCAACTAGGTATGCTCTTCGTTCTGCTACTCTACCTGAGGATAGTCTTGTGGTGGTTCTTCGTGGTGCTCTGTCGTACACTCGACTGGATCGGTACATCTGTGAAAACAGTTTGTATAGATCTCTGCCTGACCCTGTCCCTTCATTTGCTGGTCTCAAGGCTCACTTCTCTGACTTCTGGCAAGATCAGGTTGACCAACAACTGGCTGCTGCTACTACTACTGGTAAACATGTTCTGCTTCGTGCGTGCCGTCCTTCTGTCTCTCGCCCTGATCCCATACTCTACTTACCTATTGGTCGATCTGCTCGTAGTCGTTTGGTTCGTTGGCGTCTTGGTCGTTTTGCAAACATGCGTGAGGAATGTCCCTGCATGGATGGATCTTTCATCTCTCGAAATCACTTCCCTCAATGTCGTGCTTTGGATCGTGATCTGTGGGATGCTCTGCCTGCTGCTCCTCCTGGTGTACATGCCATTGACAATGCCCTGAACATGCTGCCTATAAGTGGTTCTGCTGGTCCTCCAGTATACTGGTCTGCGTTACTATCTTTGCTTCATGCAATCGACTGTCTGGTCCACCCTTTGGCTACTATCGCCCCTGATCCTGATCCCGGATCATTGTGGTTCTATCCTCCCTCTCATGGCTAACTGAGATGAACGTTTGGCCGATTGTTTTCTTTGTGCGGTGCCTCGGTGGTAAGTCAAATCAAAGTTCCCATCCGTTGGTTCATCCCTCAAGATCAATCGTGCCACTACAAGTAGTCTTCTGCTCTTTTACTGCCATCTCAAACTTTTTTCCTCATCTTTTCCGTTGTCTCTGTTGAGGTTTTCTTTCTTTAGTCTATATAGTTACTAGTTTTATGGCATATGCTCATACCGAGTGCCCAATTATAAAACATCGTATATAAATAAAAACAATCTTTAAACTGAGCTAGCTAGGCATGGATGCTTGAATGGCTCACTTGGTTAGAGCTTCATGCGGAAGCAGTGAGTATGCCGAGAGGTCGTGGGTTCGAATCCCACCTTCGCATCCATATTTTCCGCCTTTCTAACCTGGCATGTTACTCGGTATTTGTGCTTGCACGTTTAGGTGTGCTGCGGTGCGTCTGGCCGGTTTCTACCTTGAGTCCTGTTCGTCTCCCCCGTCTTGCGGCGCGGCCATTGCCTTTCTTCCTTCTGTTTCTCCTCTTCTCTGGTGGGTTTTGATGCCGTTTTCATTACTGGTCCCCTCCCGTTAGCAGCTCCCCTCAACCTTTAATTTAAACATGCTTTTTCCCGCCGAATCACTGTTAGTCTTGCAACATATGATCATACCGATTCCGCAGTTGACTACAATTGTAAATAAATAAAATCCAATATTAAACTGAGCTAGCTAGGCATCTCTTTCCGTTTTTCAACACTTTTTGCCACCGTTTTCGGAAAAAAGTTGTTCCAGACTAGAAAAAACGTATTTCCTCGATAACTACCAACTCCAACAACTCGAAATTACACAACTTTGCTTGCCTTTGGTAACAGTTTATTGTGTTATAGTTTCAAATTTGTCGAACACCTCCTTGATATTTTTTTAAAAATTTTCAAATTTATAAAAAAATATTCTCCGTCATGGCCACCAATCTACAGGGTATGGATATGAATCAGCTTCAAATGATTCTTAATCAGCTCCAAGAACAACTTACCTCGGTTACTGCTCGCGTCAACGAACATGATGGTCTTCTTGCTCGTTTAGATACTCTGGAAAAAGAGAATTCAGAGTTGAAAAAACTTTTACAGGACAAGGACCTTGCAATTCAAAAATTGCAGGGTGCAGTCTCCGGTCACGTGGTCCCCTCTGGTTCGAGTCGGCCCACGGCGGTAGAGGGGTCAACCCTCAAAACTACTACTGGCTCTATGAATACTAAGGCTACTAAATCACCTAGCTATGCAAATGTCGCAAAGGCTGCTGCTACTCTTCCTGATCCTGCTACTGAAGCTAAGCAAGCTAAGAAGCGTCTTGCTATTGGTCGCGCCTTTACAACTGCTGCTCGTAAAGGTCCTCAAGGTTACCAATATGTTTATATTGGTAGATCTAAGAAGATTGCACGCTCTGAAGTTCGCTCTCTCTTGCGCAAAGCCGGCGTTGATTTGGGTCGTGTGCTTGACATCTGTTTCCCAGCATCCGATGTTATTGGCATCTTGGTGCATGTGCAATATGTTCAGGATTTTACTGCACTTTTGGAGGCTTGTGAGGCTGAATTCTTCTTCGACTTTGACCCTTTGGACCCTGCTAACATAGCTGATCCGAAGTATGACTCTTTGACTCTGGATCAACGTACTGTTTTGATCATGGAATTTACTGCTACTCGGTGTCTGCAAACCTTAGCTTTCCTACGTCCTCTGAATGTCAGTGGTGTTGGTAAGTACTTTGTTGAGCAAGGCTGGATTTGTGACGAAGACCTTTCTGTTTCTGTTGGTGATGCCATTCAACGCTTCGCAAAGAAGGAACCCAAGAGGGCTAACTTCTTGTTCCGTCGCAAGATTAATGCTGACTCTGCCAATGAAGATTCTGCTATGGAACAATAATGTGTTCCACCACTGAGTCCTCGATACTGTATACCCAAAATGATAACCCTGTCCACTCCTTATTTGTCTCTCTCTCTCTTTGGAATGCCAATGGTCTTCGTCAATCAGTGATTCACGATGTTCTCTCTCATGTCCTGGATACTCATGTCTTGCTGGTTACTGAAACCTGGCTAACTTCTGGCTCTTTTCCTACAGATTGGTCCCAATACCATCTTTACGGTTCGAAAGTACCTGGTGCCTTCAACCGTGGTTCTGGTGGTATTACTGCTTTTGTCTCTCCTTCCTGTTCTTACCCTGTCTATCAACTCCCATCCTATAATCCGCATACTCTGTCTCTTAAGGTTGGCTCCCTTACGGTCCATTGTGTATACTTACCTCCACCCTTATCATCTGATAAGGTGCTCTCGGCCCTTAGTTCATTACCTATGACTAGGGATACTATTCTATGTGGCGATTTCAACGCTCGGTTGGGTTCTCTCACTGGCGATGCTATCTCTAATGCTCGTGGTAATGCTCTTAAACCTTGGTTTGATGAACATTGCTTGTCCGTGCTCAATGCGTCTTTGGCTTTTGGTGTTACGACGTACTCTTCTTTTCGGCAGCAGCAAGAATTGAGTAGTATCATTGATTTGTTTTTGACAAATATTGGTGATGTTGCTTTGGTGAATCCTCAACTGGTGGTTGAGTCTGATCTGTCTCTTGGTTCTGACCATCGATTGATGTCACTTACTTTCGGGTATGTGCCACCTCTTGATGACACTGTGGCTCCTGGTGATTCTGTTCTGGCTCCTCGGCGTCAATGGAAGCTCTCGAAATTGACGAAAGAGAAGCCCTTGGGCTTACTCCGCGAATCCTTTCGATCTTCTGTTGCACCTCTGGTTGATTCTCTTTCTGATTTGGTGTCTGCTCCTCCTGGTGTTCGTCCAGATATTGATGCACTCAACGATTCTCTGAATCAATGTTTGTATGAATCTCTGGATAGTTCTATTGGTGTGAAATCTGGCCGTCCTGGCCATTGGAAGAAGTACTGGACGCAAGAAATTCAGGATGCTGCTACTGCACGTGATCACTCTTATAGTCAATGGAGGCATGCCTTTGGTATTGTCAAAGTTGAAAAATGGTCCTTATACAAAGTTGCGCATCGCAAGTTTCGCTCCCTGGTGCAAGCTGCAAAGCGAAGGTCCTGGAAACAGTTCTGTGGTATTCTAGAAAAGGATTTCTCAAAAGCTACTGCTGCTATCAAGCGCATCAAGCGTAACAAAGAGTCTTCTGCTACCTACAGTCATCCCGACGGTCCTGCTGCTTCTGTTTCTGCTATGGGTTCTCATCTCGCTTCAGTGTATGATGGCTCTCTGCTTGCCACTGCTACTCGTCCTGCTGCTCCTCCCACTTTTGACTCTGTTCTGCCTTTTTGTGTGCCTGTGGATTTGTCACTGTTCGATGTTGATACTCTTGTATCTCACATTCAGCGGCTCCCAACGCATAAAGCTCCTGGTCCAGATCATATTAAAGCTGAGATGGTCAAGTCCTTGGTCTCTGAGATTGCTCCGGTGTTGTCTCTGTTGTTCACTCTGTGTTACCAATGGTCGTATACTCCTGCTCTCTGGCGCCAAGCCCAAGTTTTCCCCATTTTTAAGAAAGGCGATGCTTCTGATCCCGCCAACTATAGGCCTATTTCTCTGACTTCTGTTGTGCGCAAACTGTTTGAGTTCTCTCTCATGCCTGAACTGGATGCCCATTCTCCTGCTCTCGACATTGCCCAAGGTGGTTTCCGCCCTCAACGTAGTCCTCTGGATCAAGCCCTCTGCTTGCATGACTTGATGCATGATTACTTTGTTGCGCACCGTCGTCGTCCTTGTGGAATTTGAGGCTTGATAGACTAAAATTCACGGAAAAAAAAGAATAAAAAAAACAGTAATGTCAACTTGATAAAGGTATATTTTATTATCAAACTGACAGGTGTAAAGTAAACTGAAGTCTCTCTACTGGCCAAGTAGATGATCCTTCTTATATACTATAACAATGGATAAAAGTTCTATTAATTAGATTGACAAATAAGTCAACTCAGATCAACTAATGTCTAATCATGCTAAAAGACAACTCCAGCAAGCTAATCATGATTTAGCTCTGTCTGGATGAATAATTAGACTCTCATCCGAAGTACCCTGATCTATCCTTTCCATAAGGATAATTAATATCGATCTAGTAGCATGTATCCGATAGGTACAGTCTTCTTAGTCTATATTAATAGTACATATCTGAGTGTATATCGCTAAGCATACATCTTTAGCATGTATCTGGATATATGGCATGTCTATGGCATATCGTATGCATGTCTATAGCATGTCTCATATATAGTACAAGTCTGTAGTACATAAAGTATCCGTAGCTAGTATCGCGGATATAAGCATGCATTCTTATTCAAATAAGTCTTTTTCTGTTTTTATAATATCGAACATTTTTCATAAGCTACAAATAATAATCTTTTTATTCTTTGTGCTTAACAGTAATGAAAAATCAAATGCTCTTCTTAAACCATAACACCTTGCACTATAGTTTCAACAGCTAGAACAATTGCTCATCAGTGGCGTGATTGCAAGAATAACATACTGATACAATATCAATAATATCGTAGCCCATATTGTGTTGCTATAGTAGTAGTTCTTAAACTGTATATAGCGTTCTCCACATAATAAATTTAAACCACATACCTCAATCACATCAAACTGTGTAATGGATGCCAGATTAAGCAACTGCACTTGATTACTACCGTACTTTTGGATAAAGTAAAATTCAAGATTTTACTTATTTGGATATCATTTTATTACAAACACAAAACTATAGTAATAACAGATCAATAGGAAATTAACTGGTTGTAGACCTTCGCTGCTTCGACCTCTTAGCCAATCAAATCGCTCAAAAACCCCGCTGACCTAAAAAAAAATTTGCGAGGGTTTCCCCCTGTTTTAATGTGAGGCAAAATTTTAAGTGCCGCTATAATAGAAATATAGCCGTCACTATCATCAAATTTCCCCCAGGTGCTAGAGCATGCCTTACTTACACCACCTAGCTTTAAATTCAGGCATTGAGACCCTCAATCATCGCTAAAGTAAGTAGCGATAACCAAGTGGAGGCAGCCTATCTACCTCCTAGCCTCGGATAAGGTCTTGTTGAGCTTCAGGGATAGGCACATCCACACAACGTAAAAAAGGTATGCTTCAAAGAAACATAATAATAATAAAAGAAAGAAGAAAAGAACATAATACTATAAGACTATAGTAGTACGTAGGCAAAAAAGATACACTCACACGAAGCGATTCAAAGAAAAGCATAACAAACACAACATCAAAGATGTTAAAAAAAAAAGCTCGTTGCTGTTGCAAGAAAAATGCACACATGAGCAACGCGCATGGTAGTAATAATAGTCAGATGTAAAGCAACATGACACAAATACACACAACTACAAAAGCAACAGTGGTATTATAAGTTTGCAATACAACATGATGACTAATATTGTTGTTTCATGTAAAGATACAGAGGACACACTACCAACAAAAGAAAAAGAAGAAAAAGAAAAAGTGCAACAACGCAAACATCATGAATGCATTATCACGAGAAAGGAAGCAATAATATAAACGTTCAAAGAAGGTTTACATCATTGCGACCAGAAGAAAGAACATACTTACCACTTACCACAGCCATAAATACACCAGAGTAGTATGGGCAATCACCGGACACAGACCTGAGAACGAGCATGCACCAAATACAGCAGACCAGGAAAGACCAGATAAGCAGCAGCAGCAGCAGCAGCACAATAGAAAAACTAAAGAACGAACACCATCAGCAGAGAGCAGGCAAAGACCAAAGAAATTACTTACCACTTATCACCACCACAGATAGACCAGAGCATAAGCAATTATCAGAGATAGACGAGAGAACGAGCATACATCATAGATGGCAGACCAGAAAAGACCAGACTAGCAGCAGCAGCAATACCAGCAGCAAGACCATCAGCAAACACCGTCAGCAACACCGTCAGCAAGACCATCAACAATATCATAAAAACCCAAAGAACGAGCGACACCAGAGACCAGGCAAAGACTAAAGAAGCAGCCGCCATAGATAGAGACAGCAGAAGTAGCTACCAGACATAATAACCAAAGAATCAAACAACAGAGATAGCAGAGAAGTAATGGCAGAAGCACCTACGTCAAACAGGCAAAAAAATTATCGAAACCTAATAAACAAATTCGATTAGTGCTGATTCTACGACTTCTAGTGTTCGTTATCGAATGGTACCTACTATATTCCACTTCAATAAAGCATTATCAAGTACTTTTAAAAGTACAAAGCCGTGTCATCAGAAGTTAGAGTGTTGTTGTCAATCGAAAGGATTCCCAAATCGATATGGTTTGATACTAAACGCGTTTTGCAAAAAAGATAAAAAAACGAATGCATGGAAAATGAGAGGGTGCCATAACTGACGTCACGGCCAGTAGATCTGGTCTCAGCCTTCTGCCGTGGTGGCAGCCGCAACTGCTGCACTTTAATTTGAAATTGTGCAGTGGATAGTTTCATGTTCAAATTCGACTTGATTTCACATTCCTTAAACATTTTTGCTAAATTTAACTATGAAAAATGTCGTTGTAATACTTTCTAATGCATTTATATAAAGTCAATAAAGGCGCGTCGAATGATGCTGATTACATTTAGCTTTCAGGCCGAAAATAATGAGCAATCTGCAAAAATACGAAAGCAGGTTTTCTGTAAATATGACAACATTTAGCATATGAAAGTCTCATAAAAAGAGCTTTCAGTGCTGCATTCCATTTTGACGATCGGTTTGGTCTAATATGTATCATAGGAAAAGTCTTCATTTTTGGGGTGAAAAACGCGATCGCTTGATTTTCAAAAATTTTCCCTTGCTAGTACTCATGTAAAAACGACAATTTTCATGAATTTGCAATGACCCAAAAAAAATTGAGATAAAGCATCAATAAGTAGAGCGTGACCAAGAAGAGACGTTTGGCCTTGCTCCGAGTGTCCACAACGCTTTGTAGCATGAGTTATTTGTGTTTGAAAATGACTAGGTTTGGACAGAATTTGACCTAAACATAACGCGTATTAGGTTGTGTTGCCAAAGAAGTAAATAGAGTAAGGCACTGTCTGATGTCTCTGATGTTCTGCATTGTAAGGAACTCGAGTCGTAAGTGATAAATGCCTCTATCTAGTTCTAAAGCTCGGATCTTCCTTTTCAAAATACGCGAATACAGTAATTTTAAAATTTGAATGTGTTGCATACAAGCATGCATCTTAGGCTACATTCACTTTCTCCTCAAGCCACCTTTTACAGTGTAGCAGCATAGATGATGTTTATCGTATCACATCACATCTATGTTTACAAGTCCAGTCAATTGTGTGTGCACAGGTGCCTCAGGAACTACAATACATTCAATCTCCCCAATGTCAAAATATCGAGATCCACCTACACTACATGAAACATACCGACTTAGGTGGCCTCTCAACAAGCTATACCAACAATCCATAAGGCCCCAGTGGCCTGCTATTTATATACCATCTCAACGTAGTAGTCATTGACCAGGGATCTACCATATTTAAGCAAGCTAGATGCCCTGTAATAAAGAAGCTCTTGGCTTTCGTTTTAGATACAGTTGACAACTGATTATTATCATCGACTTATTATTACGAATTCATCATTTTTTTTAATCAAAACCTTGATTGTATCATTACTACTACTCTTACTACTACTACCTCTCAATTTTGTATACTCTGATGTCTGCTCAAAGTACCACCACACCCCCCAGTTCCGAATCTAAGCCTGCTGGAAACACTGAGCTGCGTCCTTCAGACGCCAGTGCCACCAAGGCTGTAGATATTACTGGCCCTTCTCAGTTTTTTCTCGCTGAAACGTCTCAGAAATTGGGTGGTCAAGCTGGCGAAGCTCCCACTACTACTGCTAGTGATGCGATGGACCTCGACCCCCCTTCCTCTGCTAGTTCATCTTCGAGTGATGTGGATCTTCAAGGTCGCACTGATCAGTTGAAGCTAATTGTTGACAATCAGCTCGCCGAAGTTCAGCTTCTCTCTACGACCTTGCTCCTCGAGCAAAGTGAGGAGGCCAGAGCCCAGGCCCTAGCTCGGTTGATCCAGTTGAATACGTCCATTCAAAGTATCATACAGATTCGAGATTGTTTGCTTGCATCCAAAGCTACTGCAAATGATAACCTCGTTTCTTCGGCTGCTGCTTCGTTTGGCTCATCCTCAGTCGATGGAGTCAAATCCAACAAGAGCGCCTCTGTACCGGTTTTCTTTCCCAACAACTTACCTGCATTTCAGTGGGTTGGTATGGATGAATTCGACCCCAAAAGCCCTATATTTCCTACAGTCGACGCTTGTCTGTTGAAGTTTGAGGATGTCATGTTCGCTTACAAGATGGATTTCGACAAGGAATATGCTCGCTTAGTACCACCTATGCTGTCTCCAGAACAACGTACTTGGTACGGCTCGTTCACTTCTGCTTGCACTGCTCCTGCATCGTGGAATGATTTCAAGTCGGCTATCAAGGCTCGTTATGGCATTAGCGTATTGGAAGAACGTCAACGTTGTGCGTCTGATTTGTTGAGCATTCAACTTTTGCCCGGTGAAAACGTGAAGGCCTTTCTTGATCGTTTTACTGACTTGCGTCGTCGATCCCTGGATCAAGCCCCATCCGATTACTTGTTGGCTAAGTTGTTCCTGGATGCCATTCCTTGGGTAGTCAAGGATAAGATCAACACCATCCGTCAATCCAAGGGCATCATTGATAGTTACGATGTTGACATTATCGTCAGTATCGCTCGTGAATCACTATCAACTATGACCGCAAATGAGATTGCTGCCATCTCAGCACCCGCTTTTGCTCGCACTGCTGCTGGATCTGCTGCATCACAATGGGCTCCAGTTGCGTCCCCCCCGCCGCTCACATACCATGAAGGCATCATCCTCATCTACTGATGGTCCTGCCGCTGTGTCTCGTGCTGGTGTCTCTTCTGGCCGCGTGGGCAAGCCTCACTTCAAGGCTACCAAGTCGTGCACTTTCCACCATGGAAAGCCTCACAACCATGACACCTCGGAATGTAAGCTCTTCTTGGAAGAGTTGAAAAACAAAGGTGGTGCCAACTCAATGCCAACCAGCAACCAAGCATCGGGTCGTCGTTACATGATGTCGCTTGCGGATGCCAAGGCATCAGATCGATGCCGTACTTGTGGTGCCCACAATTACTCTGCTGGTCCCCATGAGTGCAACACGGCTGTGCGTACTGGTGATGCTCCTACTAGTACTTTACATCGTTTTGGTATGCTGCGCCTTCAAGAGGGCGTGGTGTCGTCTGCTACCACCGCTGGTAGCACTGCTATTGCAACTGCTTCTGCTGTTGATCCTACTGTGGGCTCGTTGTCTGAGGCTGGTGCAGCCAAGTTCTGCAGATACCATCCAAATAGCAAGACCCATAGCACTGACGACTGTGTTGAGCTTTTGCAAGTGATCAAAAAGAACCCTCCGCGTTCTCAATCTCGTCTTGCTGTTGAGACCAATGGTGGCCGCAGTGCCGCATTGTCGTCATCGTCTGTTTCGTCTCCTCAGGCCCAACCTACTACTGGTAATTCTGTTGTTGTTCAGGAAGATCAGCAAAGTAACAACAACTCGAGTGAATCTGGTTCCTCGTTGTTGGTGCCCGCTGCTGTTGCTAAACAGAGTCGTCACGATCAAAGTGATTGCCACTCGGCTGTTGAGCCTATGGACATTGATCTACATACTGCAGTTCATGCACACAAATGTAAGGATAATCAACGTTCCATCTTGCCTGTCAATAAGTCTAATTCACTTCTTATTCCGCTTGTCGTAGAATCGCACAAGGTATATGGTGTTTTAGATACGGGATGTACATTTTCAATTTGTTCCCCTCGTTTCGCCAACCAGCTTGGTGTTCAAATCAACCGCTCTGTTCATGGTCAGGTCCAGTTAGGCCATACAGACAGTGTTAAACCTCGTATTGGCACTTGCTCACTTAAAATCTCGTATAATAAACGCAGTTTTATTCACACATTTGAGATATTTGATTTCTTTACTGATTCGGATGATTGCCCCATGTTACTTGGGTTGGATATCATGCCTGATCTACAGATTGGAATCACTGGCCTTGCTTCAACATGGTTTGAAGAGCTTGGACCCAGACTTCCCGACCCCATTGATCCTGACATCGAGCCTAATAACGATCCATACGGATCACCTGCTGAGCGTGCAAAGGCTTTCAAACCTATTGAACAGTTATTGGTAGAAAATGCTGCCATTGATCTTGCCACTACTCATTGTAACTTGCCTGGTGCGATTGTCCAACTCGAGACAATCCCTGGTAAGGTTGCCTATCGTGCTCCCTATCCTATTCCAGTTGTCTATAAGGAAGCTGTGTCTAAGCAGTTGATGGAGTGGGAACGAGATGGTGTCATTGAGCGCAGTCCAAGTCATAATGGCTGGAATTCTCCGTTGCTCGTCGTTGCCAAAAAGAATTCTAATGGTGAATATTCGTTTGACAAGCCACGTATTGTTGCTGACGTTCGCCTACTCAACCAAATCTTGGTCTCCACTGACAAGTACATTATGCCTCGCATTGATGAGATCCATGCTCGTCACAGCCGCGCTGTCATGACAAGTTCCATCGACATCAAAAGTTTCTTCACGAGTTTCTTGGTCGATCCACGTCATCGCCACAAGTTAACCTTTACCGATCCATTCACGCAAACGCAATGGGTCCACAGGAAGGTTTGCTTTGGAGTAAATTTCATGGGCAATTTAGCTATGCGCTTGATATCCAATTTGTTTACCGACATGCTTGATCAGGTGTCACTTTATATCGACGATTTAGGGTGCCTTACGTACACTGACTCTCTGGATGAGCACGTTGCGTTAGTCGCTGAGGTGATCCGTCGTCTGACCAAGGCTAATCTCCAAATTAACCAGGACAAGTTTGTGTTTGCTCAGCGCAGTACTCATGTGCTGGGTTGGAGCATCATTCAGAACCGCCTTGTGCCTGACGCTCGCAAATTGAC